TTATTTATGTTTTTATAGTACAACCCTTTTTTTAGCAGCACAAGCATAAAAACGTGCAATTTATCCAGCCATGTCAGCACAACTTTAATTAAACCTCAACGACAACCACATCGTTTTTTTTTGCACTTTTTTTTCGTATAAGAGATGACTTGGAACGAGTCAGCCCGTATAAGCATACTCGAGGAAATAAAACTCATCTCATCCCAATATACGTCCTAGACCCTTCCCTTCTACTGGTGACTGGTAACGAAGTTCATAAGTGAATGGTCTTGTCGAAAAGGAACAATAGACAAGATTGCAAGAAACTTAAGTGAAAAGAACGTAATGGAGAGCTCTACAATCGTGAAAATGTACAATTTTGTTTGTTTTACTTCTAGTAAAATACTAGAAATATACCTAGCACACAGTGGGCTAATTTATCAAAGCTCCTATTTTCTATCCCATCGTAGTTGCCAATCAGTTAAAAAGATCTAGTGGTGAGTGAGATATGGTAATAATACTACCGAATGAAACGTTTTAGTAACCAATCACAGGGCTAAAACGCCAGAGCATCATGCTAGATTGTCGTTCGGCTGACAACGAGCCTTATACCCATTTCTTCTAGTAGAATAAAAACGATGAAAAATTCTTAATCATTTCAACAACATAACGCTCTCTGGTTTATTCTGGTCTGGCACGTTTATTTCGCGAATATTCCTGTTTTGGAAAATTGCATGTAATCAATTCCACTTTCGAGCGAAATAATTATGTTCTGCTCCTTTTTATAACAGTTTCCATAGAACGCACGCTCTGGGCTGAAACAACGCGCTTTCCCAGGGAACAGAGACATGATAAGCTGAATTTCAAATTATTACTTCGGAATTTTGACAAATCTACCTAAATTTTAACATCCGCTGTGACTCAGACAAACGCAATGGAAACGAGCTATTTGTATGCAGTAAATATGGTTCCACGGAGACCATTGTTAAACAACAGAAGTGTTAAAACTGTTCTAAAATAACAGATTATGCTAGATTCCGACAAAACACGTAGCGAAATAAATTCTCAACCTAGCGAATGCTTCGATAAAAGACATTATATTTGTTACGAAGGCAGTTATTACAGTTTAGAAGTAAAACAATGACAGAAAACACCACTTGAGCTGACTCTGTTTATGACGAGCTTTATTTTTGTAAAAATATCCAAATAATGCTCATTCGCTAAATAGCAACCTCTGGTCATCTTAGCAAAGTGAAACTCAGCAATTACAATGCTCAACTGACGAGTGATCAGTTGAAGGCTTGCTGTAATACTCCCTCCTGGGGCCCGTTTCTCGATGGTCCCGAAAAGCTTTCGCACCCGAAAAGCTGTAGCAAAATCTCAAACCTTATGACTACAGAGCTAGCTGTTTAATGCATATATTCTTCATATGAACGGAAGTTCTCCTCATATAAAAAGTTTCAGGCGTATACACCTCTCTCTCTTTAAATACCGATTAACTAAAAATGGCATTGCGGGCCAGAGAAGTTTCCGGGGCTTTCGAGAAACAGGCCCCTGAGCTCAGAGTAGAACCAGTGGGAGCAGTTTAGTCCTTGGAACTCTGACGCTACTTCGGGCAATCTTGCTGCAAGCAGTAAATAACTGTAGCTCCTTTCAAATACAGTTTGGTAATTTCCATCGGATAAGTGCACGTTTTCATGAGCGACAGGGCGGCCGGATTTCTTTGGACTAGAAACTTTTAGATTCTTATTTTTAAATCAAACTATCAAAAAAGCGAACTTTGAAGCGATCGTTGTTCTCTCGAAAGCCACTCGAAACCGAAAGCTTAGCTGATGTTCAGTTTGTGATTTACAGCTGTCGTCTCGTCAGCCAATCAAGTTATTTGAGCAATTCTAACAAGGTTTGTGATTGGCTCATTTTAGTGTGCTTCATCAGAGAACAGATGCACGCTGACGCCACTTAGTTGAAAATACTAACCTGAATGTGAAAATTGGGAAATTAATGGATTCTTATCATAAAACAAACAAAGAAGCCTCGTCTGTACTCTGTTCTATTGTAAAGCACTTAGGCAGCGGTAGAGCACTCGAAGTAGGGGAAAACACTCGACTAACGTCTCTTGTTTCCCCCTACACTTCTTTCGTGCTCTACCGCTTCCTGAGTGCTTTACAACAGAACAGACTTCCCGGACAATGCACAACAAATATAACGCGCAAACATTCCCTGTACAACATTCAGCTTTTTTGCCATTAAAAACACATAAATACATTACAAGAAAACTGGTTTTGCCATAAATCCTCTTTCGCTCTGGTATACGGATAAATTTATGTAATGTCTACTCTTTCTTGTTTAGTTTCACAAAGCAAAAATGACACTAACCGCAGAGTATAAGAAACTACTTTGTTCTCAGAATACCTTTTTATTGTTATTACTCCACCGAATGTGTCTCATCTTCGAGCAGTAAATTACAGGGTTCAAAGATGAATTAAGAAATGCAAGAGTCCAGGAGAAAAGAAAAACCCTCTTAATAGGAATGCTTGGGCCGCTGATTTGGAATACAACCATACCAATAACGTAAGGCAAATAACAAATTAAAAACAAGAGAAACACGTATAATATACCAAATGCAGATTTAACGAAGTTGGCTACATTTGCTATTTCATCATTCCCCGCTGCTTGTTGAACTTGCAGAACATGAATCTGTTTCTTGTGGTGTTGTGCGGCGAAATAAATCCTAATGTAAACCACTGCTGTAACAAAAACACCAACACCTCCAAGAATTATTTCAAGACCACTGCTAATATAGAGTGAAACCCACAAAATCATCAAAGAAAGAAGTAAACTTAACACCCACATTAAGATCACAACAGCAACAACACGCATGTGAGTCACAAGTTCCTGGTATCTGAGATGAAGATGAATAGCTCAGAACCTGTCTACACTTATAGCCATTACACCAAAGAACGAGGTTAGAGCAACCAAAGCAACGACGATGGAAAAACCTTGTATGTATTACAGCCAGGATCGCTTTGTTGTAACCACATAACCAGAACGCCTAAGAACGAAGCAAGAGTAAACAACAACAAGATGATGACAAAACCCTTGTATGTATTACAGCCAGGATCGTTTTGTTGAAGCCACATAACCAGAGGTGAAATGTACAATAGTTGACCCAATAAACCAACACCAACATCAGAAACAACAAGACTCAGGAGCAATGTTTTTAAAGTTTGTGGCAAGGAAGAGGTTCTTCGTATCGCGTAGATTGTTAACATGTTTAACATGATGGCAGTATAGCAAAGAAAGCTGCTGAACAGACAATTAGCGACGTACGTCGAATGAAGCTCTTCAAATTCGGAGATTTTCGGGTAAACTGCAGCAGCAATTCACAAAATGATTTACTCATGATATACTCAAGTTTCTACAACACACCGAGCGTTTCACGTACCACTTGTTTTACGACGTAAGAAAGTTTCCCTCGCGGGGCCACACACCAGGTCGGATCACTTTGGCTTCCTTACTATAGAGCGTAATCGCCAGAAAACGAATCCGTAAAGTACCCCAGATATGGCGCTATCAGATGCTGTGTTTACGTATAACACAGTTCACTCAAATTTTCAGGATAGAAAACTAAACGATTCACAATGTTTGCTGTTAAGCCAACACTGCTAGGTGGGCTTTATTGATCACAATAAAGTCAGGAAACGAAACTACGTTTTCCCGTAGTCGCTATTTCGCTTCGTTTCCAAAATCAGCAAGTGCTATGTTCGTCGGATAGTTTGAGCGGTGGAGAGAGAAAATTGCAGTACACGAATTAAAGAAGAAGTGAAAATATGTATCCTGTGGCAAGCCCGGGAAACCTCACGCAAGCCATTCAACGATCTTGGCTCTGATTGGTTAGAGCGCGTTGTACGCGTTTTATTAACCAATCACAAGGCTGGTAAGAAAGTGTTCTAAGGTGAGCTGGGGAAGAACACAGACGGTATGGCGACATAAGTCAGAAAATTGTGAGGATACTATTAGTGACGTAGGTCGAAACGAACGTTTTCGAATTAGCTTTTAGAGTAGTACTGCAGAAGCAATTTGCATATTGATTTCTTCATGATATGAACTCAAGTTTCTTGAACGCATCAAGCGTTTGACATAAAAAATCGTGTCAAAAAGCTTAGATAGTTTCGTTTCCCGGCGTCACAAACCATCTGGATCACTGTTCGGTCCCCTTTCGTACTAAAAAGATGATCCTCAGTAAACGAAGTAAAGTATTCCACAACTCCATCTTTCAGGTGTCTCTGACGAAGACAAAACAGTTAAACAAAATCGGAGCTTCTGGTCCATATTTGAATTGCGTAAGCCATTTGCACCAGCAAACTGTCAATCCATTTTGGAACGGTGGCCTTATATGCTTATTGATGATTCACCTGCAAGCTTCATGAAGGAAAAAGTTTCACTGATGTGTAGCATGAGCGGAAATGAAAATACCTAATGCTCTCCACTGCTTGGTGTGGCTGGTAGTTTCACTATAGTCGACGCCGCACAACGGCGGACCCGTCCACACTACGGCGGAGAAATTTGAAAATGGCGTTTTCACTCTGAAAACGCATCAAGTGTTTTCCGTCCACACTACGTCGAAAAAATTTGAAAACGCAACGCTCACCGGTCATTTTGGATTGGTGTTTGAAAAAAAAAATCGGCAGGGTAAGTCACATGATTATTCTGAGGTGATCGTTATCGAAAAGCTCCGTTTTCAAAATGTTTTTCGTCCACATTAAAACGGAAAACCAGCGTTTTCAAATTTCTCCGGGGTAGTGTGGACGGGAAACTTACAGCAGCTGCGCGAAGACAAATAGCGAGATTGATTTCTATTTATTCATAAATAGGTCTAGATAACAGCAGACACGTAAAGATTTTAAGGAAAACGACCAATTTTTTAAGTTTGCAAGACATGTTTCGACAGAACTTCTGTCATCTTCAGTTGAATGATTACAAAGCAAGTTGAATAATAAGTAGACAAAAGTCCTAATTAAGACAAATAGTAACAACAGAGCGTGAAAAGGTGTAAATTAAAAGGATAATACCTTATCATGCTTGTCTATCATTGAATAACTAATATAAATACAACCAAACCGCGAACGTCGCGGACTTGAGTGTTTCAAGTTTATTAAACAAGGCATTGGTTTGTAAAACCCAAAGAGCTGTCTCGAATTTAGAAACATTAAACGTGGTAAGGGAGATATCGGTTAGAATACTACCAAATAAGAATCCTTAGATAAATGCATCGTGTTGCTAAAATAAGTTGGCACGTGTATGTTAAAATTGTACCGACACAGTTGACGACCTATGACTCGACGGAGCTGTCAGGTGTTTTCAAAGCAACGGCAGATTGGAATGGAAAAAAAGCTAAGTGATAAAAGAATAAGATTTGTAATACGACCATCAATAGCTGCCAGAACTGAGACTTCATGAAAACTCTCCTTATCATTCTCAGGTTTTTAAAAAAGCGCTTAAAAAATTTCAATAATCTAAACACGTCTTATATGACGTAACCATTTTAGCTCATGTTAAGCAAAAATGGCGCTTTCCTCAGTGCATTAAAGCTACTTTGCCATCGTTATTTCTTCTATGTTATATTACAAAGTAATGCTAAAGCGTGGCTATTGGCGTTTATTTACAACCACAACACTGAATGCAGAGAATAATGGCATAGCATGGCCAGCCCTGTGATTAGTTAAAGGCGCCATTTCTTCGCCAAGACATGTTCCGCAGTATATTCAAGATAGCGTATCGAATGTGTGTCATCTTCCAGCAGTAAATAAGGGGATTCAATGACGAATTAAGATAAAAAAGAGTCCATGAGAAAAGAAGAACCCTTTTCAAAGGGATGCTTGGGCCGTAGATTTGATATACAGCAAGAAAAATAAAGGAAGGCAAATAACAAATTAAAAACAAGAAAAACACGTAGAATATAACCACTGCAGACTTGACGACGTTGGTTAAATTTGCTGTTTCTTCCGTTTGTGCAAATCGCTGTCCTTGCGCAATCTGATTCTTGTGGCGTCGTGCGACCAAATAAATCCTGATGTAAACTCCTACTGTAACAAGAAGACCAAGCACTCCAAGAATTAGCACAAAAACACAGCCAACATCGAATGGAACCCACAAAATCATCAAAGAAAAAAATACACTCAACACCCAAATAAAGATCACCACAGCAACAACACGCTTGTGAGTCACAAGTTCCTGGTATCTGAGATGAAGATGAATAGCTAAGAACCTGTCTACACTCACAGCTAGAACGCCTAAGAACGAAGCAAGAGTAAACAACAACAAGATGATGACAAAACCCTTGTATGTATTACAGCCAGGATCGTTTTGTTGAAGCCACATGACCAGAAGTGAGATATAAAATGGTTGACCCAATAAACCAACACCAACATCAGAAACAGCAAGACTAAGGAGCAATGTTTTCAAAGTTTTTGGCAAGGATGAAGTTTTTCGTATCGCGTGGATTGTTACAATGTTTAACATGATGGCGCTATAACATAGAAAGCTGCTGAAAACACAATTAGCGACGTAAGTCGATTGAAGGTCTTCAAATTCGGAGATCATCGGGTAGAACTGCAGCAGTAATTCACAAAGTGATTTGCTCATAATATCAACTCAAGTTTCTACAACACACCGAGTGTTTCACGTACCACTTGTTTTACAACGAAAGATAGTTTCCTTCCTTGGCGCCACTCTTCAGTTGGATCACTGTTGCTTTACTTTCTAAAGCGATGATCCGCAGGAAACGAATCCGTACAATACCTTAGGCTTTCAGATCCTGTGTTAACGTACAAAACAGTTCAAATTTTCAACACATGATATAAAATTAAACGATTCAAGATGTTCGCTGTCAAGCTAACACAGCTAGGTGGGCTTCGAACGTTCAAAACCAAGAGGTAATTAAAACGTCAATCGCCTTGTCTGAGGCTCATTTAAGTAAGAAGGCCACATGTTGTTAATGCCATCTCCAATTTTGACCCATTAGAGGTGGTAAATCGCATGCTGGTAAGAATACTACCGAATACAGAGCCTTAGCTACATGCTTAATTCTGAAGTCTCAACTAGAAACACAAAATAAAGACGTTTGTTTTTTCTTTAATAGAAGCTGCTCCGCATATATTAATTAAGAAATAGAAGGGTACGCGAGAAAAGAAAAACCTTTTGCAGTGGAATGCTTGAGCCGTTGAATTATTACAAAACCACGCATAATATCGAATGAAACCCACCAAATCATGAAAGAAATAAGAACACTCAACACCAATATTAAGATCACCACAGAAACAACACGCTTGTGAGTGACAAGTTCCTGATATCTGAGATGAAGATGAATAGCTAAGAACCTGTCTACAATTAGAGCCACAACACCCAAGAACGAAGCTAGACAAAACAAACCCGAGACCATGAGTAAACCCTTGTATGTATTACAGTCAGGATCGTTTTGTTGTAGCCACATGACCAGAAGTGAGATGTACAATGGTTGACCCAATAAACCAACATCAACATCAGAAACAGCAAGACTCAGGAGCAATGTTTTTAATGTTTTTGACAAGGATGAAGTTTTCCGTATCGCATAGATTGTTACACAGTTCAACATGATGGCGGTATAACATAGAGAACTGTTAACCACACAGGTAGCGATGTAACTCGATTGAAACTCTTCATATTCCGAGATTTGTGTAGAGAACTGCGGCGACAAATCACAAAATGATTTGCTCATGATATTAACTCAGGTTTCTATAAGACACTGAGCGTTTCACGTACCAAGATAGTTTTCTTTGTGGGCGCCACAAACCAGGTTGGATTACTTTGGACTTCGCATAAAAGTGATGATTCCCAGTAAGCGAATCCGTAAAATACCCAGCACAGGGGCTTTCAGAAGCTCCGTTCTAGTATAATACAGTTCAAATTTTCAAGATAAAAACTAAAAGATTCAAGATGTTCGCTGTTGAACTAAAACTGCTAGGTGAGCTTTGAACTTCCTAAATATTGATCACAATAAAATCAAGAGATAATTAATCGTAAGTCGCCTTTGTCTGAGGTCCATTAGGCACAAGCCATAATTATGGCGTTAATGCTATCTCCAATTTGAACCCATTAAAAGCGGTAAATGAAATACCGCGTAACAATACTACCGAATGAAGGGACTTAGCTACAGGCCTAATTCAACAGAAGTCGTAAAACATGAAAACAAAAATAGGGACGTTTTTACTTTTAAAAGCCGCTTGCCTATATTAATCGATGTCACACCTGCAAAACGACGCCAATTTCATCAGTGTGCAGTGTACTAAAAACGTTCCATCTTCGTCCTGTTGGTAGTTTTAACAGCTGTTAATCACTGTTTGAGCGAATACAACTAGGACGCCATGAAGATAGCGCTATTTATGCAGCACTGTCAGCGCAACTGTCATTTAACCTCAACTACGCATACAACTACATTCGTAGTTTGATCGCGCAATTTTTGCATAGGAGATGATTTGGAACGAGTCAGCCCGTCTAAGCATACTCAAAGAAAGAAAACACATTTATTTCAATTTCCGTCCTAGACCCTTCCCTTCTACTGGCGACAAGGAGAAGAGAAAAGACTGGTAACGGCTTTCACTGATGACTAATTTTGTAGGCAGGGAGAAATAGACAAGACTACGAGAAACTACTGTGAAAGGAAAAGAATCTAAAGCGCCACAATCCTGCAAATGTACAATTTTGCCTGTTTTACATCTAGTAAAATGTTTTAAAAATACGCGGGACACAGCGGGTTAACTTATAAAAGAACAGAAGATAGATTTTAGCAACTTTAGCTACTAAAGCTGGAGTAAGAACACTCCTGGGTAATGCACTCCGGCTGAATCATTGCACTCTTACATCCATTTTATCCCAAATTCGTCCCAAAGCCTTCGCTCCTACTGATGGTTTAGCAGTGACCAGTAGGGGTCACTTTTGCGCTGACGAAGGACCAAAGCTCGAAACATAATTGTTAAATAGCTAAGTAATTCAGAAAAGCTGATGCAACCGGGATGAAAATCCTTGACTACAATTTTATTTCTCATCGTACTTGTCCATCATTTAACAAGATCTAACGTGGTAGCTGAGATATCGTAATAACACCGCCAAATGAAAAACCCTTATTGTAAACACGATCAATACGGTAGCACGCGCATATGGAAAATTCATGGATATTTATTTAACACTGATTTATCACTCCACAGCACACTTGTATACATGGTTCATAGAGACGTCAGTGGTTTGTTTTCAAGAACCATTCAAGCACCTATCAAGGACAATAGACCAATTTTGATATATTAAAATTCAGCCTAAAA